TATATATATATATATATATATATATATATATATTACTGTTAAATATACTACATTACTGTTAAATATTTTATTACAGTACCAGAAACTAATTTATCCATCCATGCTTTTTCTTTTAACGAAAGCCATTTGAATCTAATGTGTGTAGCAAACGGAGGACAGCCACGACCGATATTAAGAATTTATATAGAAGGACTTGAAGTCAATCATTATCATGATAAAATTATAAAAACAATAGGATATACGAATATCGTTTCTGAGACACGCAGTGCAATCGTAAAGAACCCTTTGGAACCATTGCTATTAGAATGTGAAATTTCTATACCACAAACGGATTATAAACGCAGAGAAAAAACAGTTTATTATCCTAGTTCGATTCGTTCCAATATATAATCATATAAAATAAAAAGAAAATAGATGTGCGTCTTAATTTTTTTTCTACTTTCAGCTCAAATGTTACCACAAATCAGTAGTGCGTCAAACTATAAAATTGGCGACGTTACTCTCATCATCTGCATAGTGTCATTATTCAAGTAAATAAATGTATAAAACGCGCAGAGTGTTTTGTTAAAGTTGCATTAAATTTAATCTATTTTTATATCATTATTCTTTAGGGATTTTGATAAATCTCATTCTTTTAATTTTAATAAATCTATACTTATATAGAGTAAATTTATCTAATTTTAAATCAGAAATCTCTTTAAATATCATGTCAAGGCAGGAAATGCAATTGCGTGTGCGTTAAGGATTAAGGAGGAAACAGGAGCTGGTGGGGAGATATTCTCCAACCAGCGATCCTCGGAAAGATTATCATTTATCGCTCGGCGTTCATCCGCAAAAGATTTGTAAGTTAACATTCTCAAAATTGACATTTCAATTCGCATCATTTAAACTTAAATATAAAAAAAATTATTTAGTGTTACATTTAGTGTTACTATTTTATCAATTTGTTATAATTTTCATTTTAACATGTGAATTTAACATGTGCAAAATAATAAACAATAAAATAATTATATTTATTTTGTTTGACAGTGAATACTGAGCTAGAAAATGAATTGCACTTGTGTGATGCTATTTCTCATAGGTAAGCGATATTTAATTTTTATAATAGAAAATATTTTTACTATATATTGAAATACATGAAATAGCTATTGTGTCAGAAGATTTTGAGAGAAATTCGAAATAGATCGAATTAGAAACTGTAGTACAATCTTCACTTGAAGGAGGAGACATTATTAAAGAATGCATCACTTAAAAGTCTTTATAACGTTGCGCTGCATATATTGCTGTGCTTTTCAGTAAAAGACAGAAAATAAAAAAATTGCGATCGATTTTTTAAATATTTTTTGTAATTAACATAAACCAGAAAGAGAAAGAAGTTCTAATCGAAGTATGCATAAGCTTGCGTTCTATATAAATGCAGTAACTTGTAATTACTTGTTTAAAATTCATCGATGAACGATACGCGCTAGTCATAACATACATAAATCCATCATTCTCTTTATACATTTTTGAATGAATAATTCTATAATAGTATTTTAAATAACACTAACTGGTTTTTAGCAAATTCTTTTAATTCAAATAAAATAAATAAGAAATAAATACATATATTTTTTGTAATATAGTATGCACGTCATGGGTCTTTGGAGAAACCTTATCTTGCGAACAATGTGGCAAAGAATGCGCCGAGAAATGCGGAACACGACAATTTCGTGCTTGTTGCTTCAATAATATGAAGAAAAGACAGTTTGAAGAAAAAAACAATTTAAAATGGAAAATGAGACCACAGCTATATACAAACTGGTTGTATCCGAATGTCGACATGAATTGATCATTTACTATATTATTTTATTCTTCTATCAGTATGCTTCATTGAAACTAAAAATGTTATGTTACTCAGGGATAATTGTTTAATTATAATTATAATTATAATTATCTTAATTTTGCAATGTCGTTCTAAGTAAAAATATTTAATGTATCATAATTTTCTTACGTTATGAAGTGCAATAGATTAAATATATCGGACACTTTAAACATACCGTTATTATTTTTTAGTTTTGAGGATATATTTAAACACTAGTACAAAAATGAAACACGATTTTCATTAAAAAATATTTATTTTTATGTGTGAATATTTTCCATTCGATACACGCACCATCTATTTAAGCAATCCAATTTTTTATACGTTCTATTATTTTTTTAAATAGAACTGATTGTTTGATTTCATCAGAACAAATTTCCAACTTATCTAATAATTTTTTGCTTTTATTTTTAATTATATTCCATTGTAATTTATCTAAACCAGGGTATGATTCTTTACTTAGAAGTAATTTTAAATCTGACTTATTGTTAACATTATCGAAAGTAATTAATTTTTCTGAAATTTCTTTTTTTGTCAAATTTTTTAATTTTATTTTAGAATTTTTCTTCTTCTTTTCAATTATAAATTCGTTTCCTAAATTTTCGACACAAAACTCTTGATGACTATTTTTAAAATTTGCTGCTTTTTCTTTTGCTTTAACAACTTTTGTGAATTCTTTTTGTTTCTCTTCAGCAGTTGTTGATGCGTTTTGAATACATCCTAATTTAAAAGCGTGACGATCTACAATTTCTACAAAGCAAAATAAATTTTATAAATATTTTTGTATATAAATAATATTTTTTTTATATAAGATTATTCACTCGTGAATTAGTTTTAATACCTCCTATATCATTATTAGAAGTAACAGTTGCAATCTCATTTGGAATTGAAATATTTTTATTTCCCAACCAAGAAACTGGATTTTCAGATCTTGTTTCTTTATTGTTATTTTTTATATTAGAAACTAAATCTTCATCTGAATCGTAAGGAGTAATTAATTTAAACATTGTATTTTTTAATCCATAATCATTGGGAACACTATAGAAATACAAATTAATTAACAATAATTGTTTTGCATAAAATAGTTTTTTTGTATAAAATATATTTATTTGTTTTACATGCCTTGGTGTAGATTCATCTATCCATGGTACTAACAGCCATGATTTTAAATCATCTGTAAGTTCATAGTTTTTAGGTAGCCAAGGTACTCCAACAATTTCAAATAAGTGTAGATACTGATATAGGTCATTATACCAAGTACATATTTTTTTAAGTAAATATCTTGATAAAATCCTAAGAGTAGAATATATGAATACTCTATATTATCAATTTACATAATTATCAATTTATGCAATGCATAATATAAAAATACATACCATATTCTACTAATAACAGCATATGAAATAATAGCCATGGACCAAGCATGACCTAAATGTATTCTACACTTAAGAAAATATGCAGCTTGTTTAGAAACCTCTTCTAAATGTAACATAAGTTTTGCAAAGCCCTGTGTTTTAACTAAAACATATTCTACCATTTGTCTACTCGATAATGTAACATATCTTTGATCTATTTCAACATGATTCTTCAAATTTTCATATTCTTTTTCAAGTGACAATGATAAGTATCTGAGCAATGCTTTATTTACTTTAAGCATTGATTTTATGCCTTTGTCACTTCGAAATTTTCTTTTCATACGATAAATTAATCTACTTAAAATTGCTGCTTCTTTGTGTAACATTTCTTGAGAAGTTAAATCCTTTATAATTTTGTCCAATGTTAATAAAAATGCAGTTGCATCTAACAGTGATAAAAATAAAGAAAAATCATATATATATAAAATAAAATGTTTTTTTTGCTTCTTGTATAAAAAACTTTTAATTTTTATCTTATCATTTTATTTACAATTAGAATTAAACTTACCAAATTTTTGACGTTCAACATGACAAACCGCATTGGGGGGACATTCTAATTGCATGTGGTTCCATATAGCTTCCATAATGGTTAATTATTGAAAATATAATTATTTTTATATATGTTAAAATAAAAACATAACCTTACTTCTTGTAACGTAATATAAGAAAGCACGTTATTAATAGTTTACAATTTACAATATATAAATTGGACACAAATCTACATGCATGAATATATATTATTTACATATGTACATATATATATATAAATATATGTACGTATATTCATACAAATTATGCATTAGCATAAATATGTATGTAACCAACGCTACCGACGACAATATATAGTTATTTCTATAGGTGGAACAGAGGTATGTCGAGATAATATAGGTGAATTTGGTAGAAAATCAAGAGGAAGTAATTTATATACACCACGTACCCAAAGCCTCCTTCTATAATAAGGTGATACATTAAATTTGTTTATGAATTGTAAGGTTGTTTAAATCTCCAATATGCAATTAAAATATGTTAATGAACACGCAATAGATGTGAACATAATTTGTGAAATCTGTATTATATTCGAATACAATAAATTGTTATTAAATTTTCACCTGACAGGTTTTATTGGTTCTATTTTTGATAAATATGATTAATTTCTTTGTCGCTCAGTATTTAATAAAGGTCAAGTAGATGTTACCGTATAACCAATTCTATCAAAATGTAATAGTGAACAGAAATCACACATTTTTTTTATCTATTACGATTTATTTACTTGTAGATTTAAAAAAGATAATAGATTTTA